ACTACTTCTCATCGGTGTCGGGTGAGTGTAAACACTCGTACCGCAATAATATCCCAATATATGGCCAGTATATCGAGTTTCGACGCCAGGAGGCGTTGAGGCGACTCCGCCGCGAACCGGCGTCGATACAGATGTTGATACAGCCGTTGGGACAGCCGATGGTGGAGCCACCAAAACGCCGGCCGCGAACTGTGGCCGAAGTGAACCGATTGTATAACAATTGGAAAGAATTGTTGACCGCTTTAGACGAGGCGAGCGGTTTCAAAAGAAAGCATACAAAAAAGTCCAAAGAAGTTGCCGACACCGGGAGTGAGTCCGACGACCGATCATCACTTCCGCTCCAACAGCAGTTGGACGACATGTTTGGCTCAGACTCTGACATCGATTTCAATGAGACGGACAACGCTGTGGACGACGGCGACGGTTCAGTCAATGTGGCCGAGAATTTAGACACGAGTCAACCTATCGATAAGGTATTGGCAAAATTGGCAAAGATTAATACGAATGACACGACTGGACTCGTGCCCACTCTCGCCGCATATGTTAGAGATATAAAACTCGGTGCTGTCCCGCGGGTGCCGACAGTGGAAAGTTTCCAACAGTTGACTGACCCGATTCGACGGCTGTATGTGATCCGTGAGTTGCAAGCATTGGAGACCGCATTCATTGATTGGCTAACTAACCAACAATTGACCGAAAAAGACAAGAAGATCATGAATAAGCACAGGACGACACTCATGAGACTTGTATTGCAATGCATTACAATAGACAACAAACTTCACGGTAGGTTACCGGAGCCACCGGACGCGTCGGGAGGCAAACGCGATTCAACGGCCGCCGAATTAGATACTAATCAGTCATCGAAACGCCACGACTCGACCCAATCGGAAAAGCGCGGGTCGACCATATTTAGGGAGTCGGCGGCTGTTTCACGACCGGCCGACAGAATGGATTGGTTTGAGTCACTACAAGACCACTACTACGGCGTCCAAGAATTCAATCCGGAAGAGTTGTTCGGTGAAGACTCTCACTCAACATCGGCCACCAGTCAGACACCGGCCCCAGTGGTGCCAACTGAGACCAGAAATGATCGCTTGGATGCGGACACTTCAGTACCGGCCGACAGAATGGATTGGTTTGAGTCACTACAAGACCAATACTACGACTTTCAAGAATTCAATCCGGAAGAGTTGTTCGGTGAAGAGTCTCACTCAACACCGCCCTCCAGTCAGACACCGGCCCGAGTGGTGCCAACTGACGCCCGTCTCGAAGGTGTGGCGGACGAGGACTTGGCGGGAGGACACGGGTCGGTCCATAGGGTAGAGTGGAATCCGTCGGTGCGCCAAATGGTAGACAACAGACGTATTGACTACAGCGCACACATCGACGACCAGTTGACGGCATACACGGCCCTCTTTGGTGATGAGAACCGGGAACTCGTGCCAACTCGTGACCAATTCATCGATAGATTGAATAAAAACATTCCCGCCGATCAATCAGGTGTGCCGACCGGCCAAAGAGACCCTCACCTAAGGGACCCACTCATGCGATTGGCTGTAATCCGCGGTTTGAGAGATTTGGAGGAAAAGTTGACACAATTGGCAAATACTCCACATTTGGAGGAAGGGTTCCGACAGCGGATTCCGCACTATTGGCGAGAGTTAAAGACAGCGCTGGCCGTATGGGTTACTCGACACCAAAGGGAACGCTAGGTTTGGTCACCATTTATTCCCATTCATATATTTTCAGTACATTTTTACACTTATTGTGTAATTAATATCAGTTTCCCATCAGTTGTTTTAATTATTAGTTGTATTTGTTATCAATTTATAAATTATAATATTATAAAAATATAATAATATGTTTCCTATTCCGTTGTGTTCTCTCACTTATAGTGAATATTAGTGATTGAAATAATGATGAAATGACATTTAAAATAATGTCAAACATGACTAACAATACGATAAACCAAAAAATGGAAAATTTCACAATTAATTGTTGCACAAAAAAAATGACCAAAAGTTAAATCAATTATCAAATTTTATTGAAAAAATAAATGTTCATTATTATGTTTTATAAATTATATAATCAATGATTATTAATCAAAATGTAACTTTTTAAATCAGTTATGATTTTGAACAATAAATGTATAGTTATTGTATAATTAAAACAATGCCAATTATTTATTAAAGCAAATAAGCAAACAATATGTCAATTAAAATAAAATGCAAATTTTCAATTAAGTATGCGTTAAATTGTTAGACACAACTGAAAACATAAACACAAAACTAGAGAACCGATGGGAGATCAGGACAGGAAGAGAAGAAAGAAACAGAAAACGGGTTCGACACCACCCGACCCGCCCAACCAGACCCCAGCACAACAGGTGGCCGCTCAGTACCGGGAAAGCGGACTCATTGAGTACACCAATCACTATCAGTACACACAAAATCAAAGATACAACCGTTGGAGGGAGTACTACGACCAACGCATACAGAGTGCTACAGGAGTTGTCGACCGGTCCGCACAGTATGAGGACTACTACTTGCGGCCGCAGTTCCGGCGCCCGGACTATCGCTTCGAACACTTACCACCGGATGTGTTGCTCTGTCTGTTCCACGAGGTGTGGACACTGGCCTATCGGACCCAATGGGCGGCGGCTGTGCGGCTGCACCGGCGGGAAGACCTTATAGAGAGGTATAGGGAGCTCGTTCACGACACAACCGCATCCGGCGCTAAATACGCGAAAGGCATGGCCGACAAAAGCAAAGCCATAATTGGTTTGCGGCGCACGTTTTTGACGCAAATGAGGCTTCGCGTACAGATGTTGGCCACAATTCGCCGCGAGTGCCAAATCGATGACGAGCGTCAGGTGGAGGGCGCCCACATGCGCTACAATTGGGTCCACAATGACGCCGCCCCGATGGCCGCCTCCCGGTGCCCTATGAAAGGCTTGACGTGACCTACAATTGCATCGACGATATGTCTGTGAGGGACGAGTACGAGTACCGGGTGAACCAGTATTTGGCGCATCTCAGGCAACGCCAGGCGTCAGAGGGCAACCCCCGGGCCGACTACTATATGTATGAGAATTGGATTCAAACGGTCATCAGAATGGTTCGCATAGTTTTGACCGGCTATACCGTACCGGCCGAGCTTCAGGTCGCCCCTCCCGTACCCCTCGATATCATTGATGTGGACGACGAGACCAATCAACTACCGGTGTTCTCCAGGCAGGCATCTCAGATCACGACGTCTTATCAAAATATGCCAACACTTGAATCTGGCCTTTGGGGGCAGTCATCACATACTCGAGACTTAAGCTCCGGCGTTGAAGGCGGGCCATCGCAGCTGTACGGCCAGTCAGACCAGCCGCGCGTTAACTCAGAGGAACTACACTTACCCGAGGGATCGGTTGGTATGTACGACGAGCTCTTGCGACCATTTGAACGCAGCGAATCCGCACCGCAAACTGGCGGCCAATCGTCGCAACTGCACATCAATTCAAGTCAGGCGTACGCCGGACAGCAGAACCAGTGGCCGCGACTGCAACCAACTCCGGAGCAATATATGGAAAATTTGAACAATGGTTTTGAGACGCCATTAGTCTCGCTGTTCGCTGCGGACCCACATCTGGTCAATGAACCGGCTTATCGGCAACAAGTGATCGCTGAGTTGAGTGAGTTGTTGGCAGTGGTGGACAGTCGGGGGCGCACTCCTGGGTTCACAATATTGAGACATTCAACCACCGATTGGGACACAGAGAGGGCTCGCGTCCAGACTGTCCTCAATGGATGGGAACAATACGTTCAATGGACTCAAGTTTACTCCAATCGGTCGACACGTGCGGAAGAGACTCAGAGCTTATGGCGTCCCTCTACTAGCGCCGGACCGATGGGACCGTACGGCCACTCAAGTCAGGCTCCAGTCACTCAACAACAACAGCAGGGGTCCGGTCGGCTTTTGCTACTCGGCGGCGGGAGTGTCCCGTCAACTCGCGCGCCACTCATGAGAATCGATACGACTCCTATACAAATCACAAGCCGTACCAAAACAATTTGGCTCTACTTTTGGCCGGAACGGCAGTGGCAGAGGTTCAGGGGTAGTGTCGAGTCTGGCAACCCTGTGGTGCGCTCTGGCTGTACACTCGCAGACCTGCCCAACCCCAATTTGACGTACATGGTATTTGAATTCATTATCGAGGTGTCCGGTCAGGTCAGCATCAAGCCCAGGGGCAGAGGCTCGCGAGTGCCATTTGAGATCGCCCAGTATAGAGAACACCTGCGATGGCAGCGCCTCCCGTGCTATATATGTGGCCGCGGAGGAGACCCGACCCGACCAGTGCCCGGTCATCCCAATCGGCCCGAACTCAACGAATGGAGGAATCGAATGCCACGGGACGTCCCCTGTCCGTGGTGTGGACATTTGTAAAAGTAGGATCAGTGGGAGTAGTGATGGGTAAGGGCACAGGTAGAGCCTATAGGCTGGGTGTAAGAGCACCTCCAGTCAAGTTTTAGTCAATTATTTAGTATTAAAAACAAAATTGTTTTATTATATTTGAAACTTATTATTATTAAAGTTTAGAGAAAAAGTTGTGTTTAATTTATTTATTTAATGATTTGATTTTATAACCAATTTTTAAAGTTATTGTAAAGTTATAAGAGGTAAGTATAGCAAAATGTATGTAATTTGCAATTATAAATAACATTTTAAAGTAGTTTATTTCATGATATAGTACTTTTTAAAACATAGTAATATAATTAAAACAAATAATTTTTTAAACCTGTCCCAAGTCTGGAGTATCAGTGAATTGAATGACATCTTTGGGTGAATGCAATTCAAACACTGAGATATGGTTTAGGCCTGACTTCAAGAGCGGCGCCGGTATATACAGAGTGTGTTGCNAATTCAAACACTGAGATATGGTTTAGGCCTGACTTCAAGAGCGGCGCCGGTATATACAGAGTGTGTTGCGGACCGACTGAGTAATAACGGCCCGCATTGAAGCCATTGACAAACACATTGCCTTTCGTCCAGCCGTCCAATCGGACAAACGTATCGCTCGGACTCTCCTTTATATCCAATGATAACCTATAAAGTGATGGACTTTTAATGCCCTCAACGAATGGTTTCCCTTTAATTCATTCATTTGTTGAACAAATTGTTGTTTCAATTCAATGGAAAATGTCTCAAAATGTGACCCTATTTTCCCGTCGATAGTCACGTCTCCGTTCAGACCTTTGCGGGCCGTATTAATTCCTCCTCCAATCTTCGCTCGACCCGTGTTTTCAACAATAATATTCAACGTATGGGTCGTTGTGTTTGCAAATTGAGAGTCAGTTACGTTTAATTCATAGTCTTTAGTGCTGTCCACGAGTCCCACCGGATTGTGGTCTATGAGTATAACCGCCTGATCAGATGCGCCACCTGTGTAATAAATAAATGTTTTAATTTGAAGTTTAAATTAATGTTATTTTATTCAAATTACCGGTTAGTTTTAACTGTTTTAATTTTTGTAAATTTTTGAGTCTATAGTTAATGAAACCATAGTTTTGGCCATAATTGTGTCCCAAATTCAATAACTCCATATGCGTTGGCTTTTCGGTGACGATTGGCTTGATTTTGCTCAACACGTCCTCCAGAGACAGATAGTCAACGACTTTAACCTTTCCGTAAGCCTTGGGTTCGATTAGTTCCGGAGGTTTAGGGATCAGTAGTTTTGGTTGACTCCTCTCTTTGTTAAACTTTTCTATCAATTCCTTTGTCTTCCAATACTTGTCCGTATAATTGCCTATAAATTTAAACACATATTAAAATCAATATTTATTTATCTCTAACTAATAATTAAAAATATATGACTTTTTTTACTGTCCCACGCCCCACGCTTTTCCCCACACAGCATAAACAGTACTACAGTACCTCTCTTTCTCTCTCTCACACACTTTCAATGACTCTCTCTCTCCCTCTCACTCATCGACTGTGTTTGCGGTCAATACAAAGGGTTTAAAAGTTTGCGTTAAACAAAAGACAGGAAATGGGGGCCAATGGGGGAGAAACTCAACTCATTCGCAATGATGAGAGAGAGAGAGAGAGAGAGAGAGAGAGAGAGAGTCAAATAAAATTAAGTTTTTTAAAATTAAATGCCATATAAGGAGTGAATGCATGCAAACGGCTCTCAGCTAAGGTTGGCGACATGACAAACCATGTATTTTACGTATGTAATTTACATAGTATTTTACATGTATTTTACGTACACAAATATTTCATTTTGTAAAATACATTATCAAAAAAATTTATTGGTACAATTTTTTAAATATTTTTACAAAACTTGGGTAAAATGTTTGCACAAATGTTATTTGTTTATTATTGTAAAAATAATCATTGATTAAAATGAGTAAATAATAGCCACAATCAATTATTTAGAACTATTTTACAAAAACCGATGATAAAAATTGCTGCTATTTTGTCAAAAATTAATTAATGAACCAGATTCAATTGTAGAATGTGAAATAATTAGTCATTAAAATGTTATAAATGTATCATTAATGTCATAATTGCAATAAAAATGTTCAATTTTGAGGGAATAAAATACATTAATGTTTCCCCCATAGTAAGTAAAATAACATGTATATTACGTGCATTTTTGTATTTTACAATGTAAATTACATGGCGTCAAAAAAATCTTTGTAATTTACCAACCTTAGCTCTCACATACACTCACGTAAACCACAATTCCCTATAATGTTCACACATTGACACAAAAAATCTCATTTCAAACACAACACTCATATCGAGCGCACGTCAATCACATCCGTGTCCTCACAAACAGGTCCCGAAGGTAATAATTCTCTCTCTCTCTCTCTCTCTCTCTCTCTCCACATATGAACACATATTATACGGTAGTTATCGTTATTATATATCGTAAGTGAATACAGAAATAAATACATATATATTCTGTTGAATAAGTAATTTATTCACATATGAATTCGTAAGCAATTTGTTGTTTGCATTCAAATGGTATTTAACGTACTAAATATCCATTTATTCATTGAATTAAAACCTGATCTCTCTCTCTCTCCCTCCCCCTCTCCCTCTCTCTCTCTCTCTCTCTCTCTCTCTTCTCTAATGAAACGGTGGTCACGACAGCCATACTATGTATGTGTCGTACACTTCACAAAATGATGGCAAGTGTTTGGAGACAAAGGCCTGAGTGTCGGGAAGTGTTGGCCAAACATAACGAGTGGTCTATCGATAAGACTGTTGTCGCGAATCACAAAAAATTCAATTCAGTGTTAAATACACTTAAATCTAATGTGAATTCAGTTTTCTATGAGATTTTGTTTCGCAAAACACAATGAGATATCACTTAATACTGTATTTAACAATTTCTCTCTCTCTCTCTCTCTCTCTCTCTCTCGGCCAAAATCAATGTGAATTTAATTAATTACTTTACATATTATATCCAGTGATAGTCTGACCAAAGATTTTGTTTACAAAAAGTGTTTGTTATATAATGTGTGACGACATGAATGAAAGTCACCAAAACGACAGCAATGATAATAATAATGACCGCAACGATAGACAAACTAATGGTCATGAGTCACGCTATACAATACCACGTCGGGCCCGATCTGTGACACCGAGTGGTGTCTCAGACCCAGTGATAGCAAGACTTTGGCGCGAATTGGCAGAAATTGATCGGTGGGTGATATGAATAGATTTTCACATAAATTGCATATTTTTATAAATTTTAATTATATTATAGGCAACCAATTGGTCTGTTCCACAACCCGACATCTGCTTCTTCACGTGGCCAACACTCGGGTTCAGTACGTGACCGACACTCGGTTCCAGTACGTGGCCAACACTCGGGCCAATCACGTGGCCAACACTCGGGTTCCGTACGTGACCAACACTCGGGTCCAGTACGTGGCCAACACTCGGGTCCATCACGTGGTCAGCACTCGGAACCATTACGTGGCCAACACGCGAAACCATCACGTGGTCAGCACTGGGGCAATGGTCCGACTCGCAGGGGTTTCCGAGGAGGAAAGTTTAAGGCCAAAAAAGGGAATTGGTATAGAGGTGGACGCGGTGGTAGAGGTGGACGCGGGCCAAGACGAGGCAGAGGTGGCGGCCGTCGCAACGTATTTAATACATTCAATTATTATTAGTATTAGTCCCACATGCATTTAAATTCATATCTCATTTGTTTTTATAAAACTTTTTAAATGTATGTTTTAATAATAAATGGAAAATAATAACTGATTTAAATTTATCAAATATTTTCATATCGAGAGAGAGAGAGAGAGAGAGAGAGAGAGAGAGATTGTTAAATACAGTATTAAGTGATATCTCATTGTGTTTTGCGAAACAAAATCTCATAGAAAACTGAATTTTATCACTGGATATAATATGTAAAGTAATTAATTAAATTCACATTGATTTTGGCCGAGAGAGAGAGAGAGAGAGAGAGAGAGAGAGACTGAGAGAAATTTATGTTATTAATTGAATGAGTTAATTATTCATTTTGATCAAACATTGATAGTTTAATGTAGTTATGGTTTAATTATACCAAGGTATCTTATAAAGGTATCCCATTAATTAAGTGGTTAATTAACTAGTTATACAAATAAAATAAATGCATTAAATGCATCTGTTACTTATTTTGCATGTAGCGTATACTGTACTAATGTACATTATATACTATAAACAATGTTTTTATAAACTATATGTGCTGTTTAACCGGGCTACTATATTAAATCTTTTATAAATTTTTTCATAAATAACAGGGCGTATGTCTAGTAAGAAAGTATTTAGTAGAGTCTATGCGCTGAGAGACCACTTGTCAGTGCGTTCACAACAGTCAGCCCAACGACAACCACACCGACGGCAACGGCCAGACCTGTCCGCGAGAGCGCAGTCACTGGTCGGGGACCGGCATAGAGACATAGAGTGGGAAGAGAAAAGAGTGATAAATAAGACAATAACTTGAATACCAATGCAATTTGTCCGCACATGAAGACAGTTAGCGTACAGCAGGCGCTGGCCGGCGATCGGGTGCCGCCACCGGACACACCGCCACCACCAGCAGCTCCGCCACCGGCAGCGGCCGCCGGAGTGGTCACAGCGCCCGCCTGTCGTCGTCTTCGTGAGCCGCCACCGGAGATGACCGGAAACAGGGCTGTCATATACCTGGACTCACAGTCGGGCCCGTCGTTGCCATAGGCTTTGCAATTGTCGGCCGACACCTGTCCCACACCCGGACCTCCCGGTGCCGACACCAGCGCCAACACCGCTGTCACCACCGCTACGGCCATCGGCTGATGCATTGTCTTATGTGTTGGCTATGAGTACAAGAGGTGCGGAACAGTTGAGGCGATGATCCAAATGTGTGTCCAAAATAAGTGGTAATTCAAAACACAAGAGAAATCACTGTTTGATTGACTCCTAAGAAATGTTTAACGGATTTTGTGCTCAGAATTGAGTTTTGAATATAAGTTACAGTAATTTGTATTGTTTTCTACAGTATTGTTAACGTTTTGGTACACATTATGGTAAACAACTGTACAGTACTTTACTATTGCAAATCATTTGTCAGTATATTGTTTGCATTCGCGAACACTATTTGAATAGCAAAACATTTATTATCAAAAATGAGAATAATTTTGTACATAATTTGTATGATATCTACCATTGAATGCCATTTAATGTTGTGTTTATAATTTACTACTATTTGTGATTTATAATACATTATCCATCGATCAGATCCGGAGTTATTTGTCACAAACGACGGCCGGCTTTGCATTCAATGACTATTTCTATTTGTTTGCCGGAAGTCTTGTCTGTCGTGTGAATAACATTACTCTTCGGTTTGACGACAACTGTTTGAATCAAACCATCGTTTAGTAGATCCCAAACACGCTATTGTATTAATACCGGCTTTTGTGATCATAATAGCAGTGTTCACAACATTTATTGTTTATAAATTGTGGCCCAAATGAGTGACAGTGAGTCCGACGGCGAGTGGCAGACAACCGATGACGAGTTGGACGGCGCGGATGGCGGACAAAGTGCCAGAGAGTGGGAAGAATTCGTGCGTTACGTACGAGCGAAGCAGTCGACTGAACCAAACGGTGACCACCACTTTAACGCCGGTGTCCCGACCCATACGCCCGAACAGTCGACCTCTACTATGACTTCACACTTCATGCCATTCGACGACGAATCGGAGGACGAGGAGGAGGTCGACGACTGGCCGCCAGTGCTTAGCGCAGGCGCTGCAGAGGAAGCGACCGAACAGTCGTCTCAACACTCGGCGCCTAACACTCAACCACTCATTACCATAAGTCGGGAAAACATGATTGAAATGTTCGGTCAATTCAAGCAACAGTTGTTCACCGATCTGTCCATCGCTTTTGACAACTCTATGAACACATTCACCGACTCTTTGTTTGAGGCCACGGATAACGGACAACAACCCTATGAGCGCCCGACAGACTGCAACCACTTGCCCACCACTGCTCCCCACTCACGCTCTCGACCAACACTTCCACCCCTTTCGACCTCACCATTAGGTCCAACGCCTCAAGGGTTTGAATCAGACGATACCGACGGGCCGTCTCCTCCAAAGAGATTGAAGTCTAACTCGTGGCCAGACTTGACTAACGTTAGGTCCTATTGCTATCGGTGTGGTTATCGTTGGGCTGACTGTCGTTGTGATCGACACTAAATACACACTCTCTCTCTCTTTCTAGACATATGTTCCGTCATTTCATTCATTGATTTATTTGTTTTTTATTTTTGTGTATTTTTTTGCTCAAAATTTGTTATATATTTAATACAATACTGTTTTTGAGTTTGTTTTTAATTTTCTTAAATGTTTTATTGATTTCTTCGCAA